CGGGGATGGATATTTTGTTTGGGAAGTTAACTCCTTTTCAAGGTGGACAAAGTTCAGATCAAAATAGTCAGAGAGGTGTCCATCTTGTATAGAGTCAATTAGAAAGTGACTAATGAAACGTTAATCTGCTACACAGCCGTTTTTAGTTTCAACACTCCTCCCGTGCGTGACAACACTAAAAACGGCTGAGTAGGCTAAATATTTTATCAGTTAAATATTAAGATTTAGCCATGCCTACACTGTAAAACCGGAGCTCCCTTTAAAATGCGCATGCTCATAAAAGGGTATAGCTTTGTCTTATTGGTGCCAAACGATCTTGGATTTTCACTGACATTTTTGCCCTCAAGTGAATCCATAGCAGTCTTGGTTTGTGGATTCTACGCCGCAGATTCCAAATTCGGGATTCTTTGTCACTGGAACTTGCATTCCAGAAAAAAAATAAAATAAACAGCTACTGACAAACGAATTCTTAACTCAAAATCATTAAAACAAAATCAAAGAGAACTTTAGAGAAGCTGTGTTATCCGCGGGCTACTCTTACAGGCCATGCCAAAGAATTTATAAACGTACTAGAGATAATGTCATGATAAGTAGTGGTGATGTCCCTTGATGTTGAGCTATTAATTTTTCTATCTTTTAGATGTACATTGAGCTCTATGGTTCGCCAGATTCTGAGAAGCAAGATAAAAATATACCTGACAAAATTCATCTGAGAGTGCGTCATCTAAGCGGATCTCACTTCCTTGCGGGTGACAACAAGATGAAGACTTACCGTCAGCCTGTTACCGATTTCAGAGATTTCAAGTTTGATCGCTTTACCATTAGTAATGAAGGGAAGTGTCGAAAAGCAAAGCAAGAGGGGAGAAGTTCTTGTAAGGCAGAATTAAATAGAAATAATATACATATGGTTCTTTTGTAGCAACCTTGCCATCTTAACCCTCGGACGTACAAGAAGGGGGAGGGGTGGTTGTCACTCCGCCCACCCCCCCCCCCCGGCCTTCCCTTCCCTCTGAGGCTGTTTTGAGTTTTTTTCCAAGACGATAAAACATCAGCACCTGACGTTTTTAGTAGCTGTTCGTTTATTCCTCACGCACATTTTGAGACAAGTTTAGTGATGGTCAGTTACTATGGTTATGACGTCATAGGTAGCAGGTGGTCAAGCCATCTTTGGGTGAAAATGAACATTTTTTCACCTTCTTTCAACAATAAAAGTAAAGCTTGTGGATGAAATGAAGCAAAGGGCTTCATATGTCTATTTTACATGCGAAGCCCAAAAATTAGCGTTTATTGCGGTTTTAATCTGATTTCTAATTCTTGATCAAATCCAAGATGGCGGCCAAGATGGCGACCATTGTTGCGGTCGTCATAGGCAAAATCGTTTGCCTGTGCATACTGCAACATATAAAACTCTCCGGGAAAAAGTTCCATTAATCCCAGCCCCACTGTACCACAGTGGGGGTATGAAGTTGAGTGTACGTCCGAAGGTTAAGTTGGAAATGCGTTAGCTCTCCCTCTTTCTCTTTTTTTTTTTCATTTTTACTTGTTTATTCATTCAATTGTTTATTGAAATTCACCAAGATAAATCAACACAGTGTTGCCGGATCAATTCTTTTTCTCCGGTTCCATACGGGACGTAGCCTTTAATACCATATTTTAAAATTCATATCTTCTCTCCTTGTCATAACAAAGGCAGCAAATTAGCCTCAGTTATTTTAAGGCGCTGAGTACTGTACATGTTGATTAATTCTTTGTCGAAGCTGTTGTGAAAACGAATTAAATTACATTGCTTTGTCTATGTATTCTCTCTTGTCCTGGGTTTCAGCGTTTTGTGTCGAAAAGAATGACGATCGCTGGAAACCGATGTGCAGCCACTCCTTGAATGGTCTAGTCGATTCAGGCTTGATGATGGGCGAGGAAGAATGCACAAGTCCTCCTGGTTATTACGAGCTGTTAATACCTGTGGATAAGAATCTGGAGTGCAGTGCCTCTCAAATGAAAGACACCAACTGCAAAGATCTTGACGTGAGTTTTTTTTAAGGTCATTGTGAATTATGGCAAACTAAACTTTGCCTACAAAAACTTTGCAGATATAAATCACTTATCTCTGATTACCGAATCAGCCATGTTCCCAACTTGCCTCGTCACTAGACAAGTTCCCAGCCTCCTGCTTTTGATCTCGTAAATTACTTTGGGGAGGCTACGTAGGGTGCCGTATGACATAACAAATTTTGACTCAGTTTGTCATGATAGATATCATCATGTTGTTGCGAAATATAAAGTGGATAAGTGGACCCCCATTCTCGGAGACCCAGGGGCAGTAAACTTTCACCACGAACATTCTATCGTCCCGGCGAACTGCCCCTGGGTCTCCGAGGATGGTGGACCCAATTCTCATTATCAAAACCTCCAAATTATGTATTTCTTCGAGCGAAAAGTCTGGCCTTTACTATTGATACAGCGGGCATGGAATTCAAACTTCTGAGACGTTAGGGGAGCACATATCCGACACTAGAGTAGTATATGATAGATGCTGAGTTCATGCGAGCAAGCTCTCTTGTTTGGACGAGCCGCGCGAGAACGCGCGAGCGAGCGAGCGGAAGGAGAGAGCTGTCTCTCCCCTGCTCTCTGCTTTCGCGTCTTCTCTCGCGTGCCTCTCGCACGTCTACTTTTCACGATATCCCCCAAATGGAGAGCTTGCTCGCAGGCTAATTTCCTAGGAGATGGACTGATTTTAAACGTATCATATACCGAAAAAAATTAAAAAATAGAATTTGTTAAATATACTATTACTTCAAAAACAACAAGAACATAATACAATACAAACAAACAAACTGGCCAAACAAAATAATTTTTTTCGGGCTCATAACAGTAACATTACCGATTTTTTTTTTATTAGGACTTTAATGTCTTTTTCTTTTCATATGTGGGTTACGTTTGTTGTTTGTTGTTGGTTCTCTCCTTCGCTACGAGAGGTTTTTTCCGGGTACTTCGGTTTTCCCCTCTCCTCAAAAACCAACATTTCCAAATTCCAATTCAACCAGGAATCAGATAGACGAAGAACCACTTTGTGGTTGTGCTACCTCCAAATCATTATTTATTTATTTATTTATTTATTTATTTACAGCTGACGAAGTTCACCAAGATGAACGTTTGGGTGTATTACTTATACTGGTCGAACAAGTATCCTGTCGGACCAGATGACCCGATATGTCGCGTTGCAACCATGAAACGGAATCAAACAGAGATCGATGAAGAGAAGTTTCCTGTTATCCCGGACGAAAATAAGCGCTGAATATAGTCTTCACCATTGAATTTAATAACATGCATTCTCCAATTCTCTTGTCTACCGGCTAGGATTCCGGCCAGAGACCCCTCAGTGGAAATGTTCAACTCTAACGATTATGAATGTTAAAATATACGGCTATGTAACTAAGAATACAAAATCATTTCATTTCATCGCAGTGACATAAAAATGTCAAAAAATGTAACTATTGCATATTTGTCAATAATAATAATACGAGAGCGATGATGATGACCATAATCAGGAGCCCATCANCCCATATATGACTTCCCTCGCAAAAGAAAATACTTGATTATAGACGTCCTTCCACTCCCGGGGTTCTCCTTTAATAATCCCATTTACATGTAGGCCGTTGCATATGGCCCCCCCCCCCCCCCCGCCAAACGGTATAGTTTTTGCACCGCTTGGGTCTGAAAATGGGTGTACACTTTCTGCCTAACTTGGTCTTGAATCGGGTATTGATTTCCAGAGAACTACGGGAAAGTCTACACGTATTTGTCGTATTTATCGTTTCAATTAAAAATGAATACGACAGAAAGAGTTTTCTACCAATTTGAAATGGGGTTTAAGAAATCTTTTTAGTGGGGTTCTAAGCTAAGAAATGATGACACGATTTCTTAGCCGCGGTTGTTCAAAGGCCGGATAGCGCTATCCACTGGATAAATCTTTATCCAGTGGATAGTGCAATTAGCTTCCCTAATACTAATCCGCTGGATAGTAGCTGATAGTGATTTATCCGATGGATAGCGCTATCCAACGTTTGAACAACTCGTCCCCTCTCGGGTCTGAAAATAAGCGTGGAAAATGAACTTTTTTGGCCTGAAATAGTGTCAGGATTTGGAGAACCATGCAGCACACCCTCAAGAGTATATATCATCTCACCCCTCCCCCCAGGCTTACAATTACCTCACTGGATGCAGTAACCTTTAGGTAAGTGAACACTGTGCGCTGTGTCGATGTCAATGAGAACTACAAAAATGTCTCTGGAGAAAACAAACCAACGTGAAAATACGATCCCAAGGTACCTAGCAACTTTTGTTGCTAGGGCAGTTAATACAGTACGCGGTTGTGTGTGGAAGTGAGGCGCAATTGCAGTAAGTTAACATGGCAATATATCAACCCTTGAATGAATCAGCTCTAAACAATTGCTTTCAGGGTTCTTCATTTGGGTAAAAAATAGAAGGTAGAAAAGAAAATTATGACATGAATATCTGTTTGTAATGTCTGTCCTTCTAGTTTCAAATGATATTCACCAATCAGGCACCACCCAACTAAACAGTAGGCAGCTATGCCCAATCACGCCTCACGCGGCAAATTTGTGCCCGATCACGCACCACGCTGATAATTTGTCAACCATCACGCGTCACGGAAAACCCCTTTGCCATGCGAGTGTTTTTTTTAGCACTGCTGTGCAGTTGACAGAGAAGGCAGAAAAACAAAGAAGTGCGAGATTGGTCAGAACGTCTTTCATTTATTTTCAACTCTTTATTCTCTTCCCCTTTCCTATTTGAAATTTCGAAACTCTTATTTTCTCAGTCAGTTGTCTCTCTTGCTGGCAAAACTCAGGACTAGACACTTCGAGCCCTGAAACACAAAGAAAACTGTCCATATCTGGCAACCGCTGACACAATTGTCGTTTGATCCGTTTCGAACGCGGGAATATCGTGAGAATTGTTCCTATCCACCTGATTGGAAAGAAATGAAGATTTTGTCGTGGAATATCAACGGAATTCGTGCCGCTCGAAGAGACAAATCGTTGAAGGAAGTTTTAGACTCTCTTGAAGCTGATGTTATTTGTTTGCAAGAAACAAAAGTTACCCGTGAGTAATAAACTTAATGAAGGGTTGTTATGATTAATATCATTCGGTTGCTTAAGTTGGTTTGTTGGGAAAGTGGAACTTACTTTCAAATGATCCACATTTGAAATGGGGCTCGCAAAATTACAGTCAAAGCAGGTCAAGGGATCCCGTCGCTAACGAACTAATGAATTCATTAACTGTGAAAAAATGATTTTGTTTGTTGATTCAATATTCCGTTCATAAAATGAAAAATCCAATATTCATATTCAGCCTCGATTCAATAATCGAATGTTCATCCGATTGCTGTTTTTTGAAAATCTACACTCTCCACAAGTCGACATCAGAATTTTGTTTTTTCTCTTATTTTTTAAGAGTCGACCGAGAGTCGAGTGCAGGTTAGTTCTGGAGTTCAAACCCAAACAAACTGTTACATGTACGCCATTTTGCTACCAGTAATCAGTGCAACAGACCTGACCTCTTAGAAAACACGATGGTCAAACTGAAGTCAGTGTATCTGCGGTGATTGGTGGATTTTGATCCTTGGCCTTTGTCAGTTTGTATTTTACTGGCTAAACCCTTAATATTTTTTTTTAGGTTCAAAATAATTCACAAGTTGAACAAATGCTGTTCCTAAAAAAAGAGAGTAGTGCGAAAGTATCTTGCGATGAAGTTATATTATCTTTGTTTCATGGAAACAATGAGCTAACACTTCACTCAGCGAGTCAAAGGATATGACATGTGTCAGCATCCTTTGTGAGTTGTGAGCCTGCAAACAGTCATGGGACCTGTGATTTTACAGCCAACACTTATCAATAAGTGTCATTCCGCAATGCCTATGGATGATGTCAGTCAAGTAATTGTTGGTATTTTCCAGGTGAAATGCTGGATGAAGTAACTGCTATTGTAGATGGATACAATGCCTATTTTAGCTTCTCCAAAGTTAAAACAGGCTATTCAGGTGAGGCATAAGTAAAAGCATTTCATTTTGTTGCTCTGCTCAATTACCAGCAACTTAAAGACCGGGATTTTTTTTTTTACTTGAAGACACAGTCACTCCTTAAATGGGTTACTTCAAAGAACCAAACAATCCACACCCCTCCCCTTCTTCTCCATCCAAAGTTGCACTTTTAATTGCCCAAACAGTGGAACAGTTATTAAGTGGAGGGGGTGGGTGAGGAAAGCTTCATTTTTGCCTTTTGGAGTCCACAATTCAAACATTCAAAACATCAGAAAGGCTCCTGAGCATTAAGTGTCTCAACTAATTTTGTCAATGGTTTATATTCATTTTTTATGAAAGTCATCAGCCAGGAAGGATTTGACCTGGAGAAAGGCTCGGCCCCAGTAGCAATAGTGCTATAAATACTGCTGAGGGTAAATAACAGAGGTATTCTTCTGTTATCATTATTATTATCACTCAATAATTTTTTTTCTGTTTCTTGCTGTTAAAAAGAGAAAAAAGTTTGTGCATTGTGCATTGATCGAGAGTAATGAAAGAGTGATATGGATAATTGATGGACGAGATATTCCACTTTTAACATGCTCTCTTGATATATTTGCCAATGGCATATTAGTTTGTGTAAGGATGTTACAAAAATGAAAATAAATTCCTCTCTTTTTAAAGCGCCCCATCTAGCCTTAGACCCCCAAAATAAAGAAATGACCCCAGCATCTATTAAATCATTTGCAGTACTGATTATAGGGATTGCTGTACACATGTATTAATGTTACATAACTAATTCAATTATGTTAAAAGGTGTGGCCACATTTTGCCGTGATTCAGTGACACCTGTTGCTGCAGAAGAGGGCCTCTCAGCTTCCCTCACTCCACAGCCCTCTATAGGCTGTTACGGTAGCACCTTTGAGTTCACTTCTGAGGAGTTAGAAGCTTTAGATGCTGAAGGTCGTGCTGTCCTTACAGAGCATAGTTTCCCTGATGGCAAGAATGTCGTTATCATTAATGTGTATTGTCCCAGGGCAGACAAAGAGAACAAAGACAGAGTGAACTTTAAGCTTAGATTTTACAAATTGCTGCAGGAAAGAGCTGAAGTACTTGTCAAGGAAAGAAGGTATATTATATTTATTAATCAGTTAAATAATAATAATATTTATTATTTATAAATGCTAATATTTTTTACCTTGCTTTGCCATCCCTGGAAGAGCATTAATTTTTCAGGACTGTGTTACTGGGTGAACTAATGAGGTGTCTGGAATGAAACTTAAATTGACCCTTAATAAGTTAACTAACCAATTCTCCCTCCAAATTACCTTGCACGAGCCTGTGAAAGAATAGGTTAGGCCATACATGTAGTTGCTTAATACTTTTAGGTGGATAATGCTATTCACTGTTCAACAGATCTTTATCCAGTGGATTCTGCAATTAGTTTCTCTGACACTTACCCACTGGATAGGGGATTTATCCAGTGGATAGCATTACCCTTTTTCAGCTTTTGACAGCTGGGGAGAGGAATTAGTTGGATTTTTTGGCACATACCTTCTACTATGTTCATGCAGGTCTTGACAAAGTCTCGAAAACTTGAAATCTCAATTACTTGAAATCTTGACTTGAGGAGTGGACAAGTTGACAAGCTGACAACTTGCATGTCCCCTACAGGCCCCTTATTTATTTGTTTACCCCCTGTACTACAAGATTTGCCAGGTGGTGTCGGTCTTTCATAATCTTTATGTTGGTTTGTGTTTATCATAGGCATGTGATAGTTCTTGGTGACATAAACACAGCACACAAAATGATTGACCACTGTGATCCTGATGAAGAGGTAAAAAATGGTGCTCACTGAATCAATAGTTTATTTTCAGGGAATTAAATTTAGATGTACTGATCCCAGATAATCAAGTACTTTCCGTTTTAAAGGAATTATATAGTACCTGTGACTACATGTATCTTGTTTATTTATCATCATCATCATCATAGCCATTATCATCATATAATCTAATCACCATCATAATGTGTCTTTATTTCTATTGAAAAATATGTATGTAAAATAAAAACTTTTATCTTTATGCCTTGAGTGACATTGTCAATTAATGAAGGTGTGTATATGGTTTTGGGTTAATCCCTCCTTCAAGCCAATTCTGCTCAACCCAAGAAGCAGGTAGTTGATCTTACCATGTGAGTACTGCAACTTTGTAAGAAGAGCAAATAATATCTTGAGATACATTGAAAGATGTTCGTTTACCAGGCTAAAGGGAACATTTTGTCCTCCCAAGCTCCTTATTCTGCCAGCTTTAGCGCCTGGTATTCTTGCTGGGTACACATGGCATTATTGAGGACCGCCTTAACGGCCTTAGTATGTGTACTGTGGGACCACACAACTTATTCAGCTTTGAAATGGTCCAGGTCAAGCACCGAGGTTCAAAGGGTTGTAAAATTTTTCTCTCCGATCCACTCCAATCAATAAATTCTTCTACAAAGGTTTTCAAATGTAAACTTTTTTTTGGTTGTTTTTGTTCTGTTTTTAGGACGCGTTTAACACTCATCCAGGGCGGCAGTGGTTGAATCACTTCCTTTTGCCACATGATGCTCCAGTTGAACCACCAGCTGGGGAAAATTCGGACTTACTTCCGGTAACACAAAAGATGTTTATCGATACCTTTCGTTACTTCCACCCCACAGAGCGCGGCGCCTATACAAACTGGTGCACAGTTACTAGTGCTCGACAGACAAACTATGGCACAAGAATAGATTACATTTTCGCAGACGTTGAACTTGTGAGGAAAGAGTTTGAAGATTGCGTGATAAGACCGGATGTTGATGGCTCTGACCACTGTCCTGTTGTTGCAACTTTAAAGACAAGTTTCCAAGGTGCGTCTAAAGCCCCTGCGCTTTGTACCAAATACATGCCTGAGTTTGCTGGAAAGCAACAGAAACTTAAAGAGTACTTTGCGAAGCACTCAGGGAAGACTAGAGCTTCAAGTCAACCCACTTCCGGAAATAACGAATCACAGGAAGTGATGCCATTGAAGCGTAGTGCTTCGTTTGGCGATGAGAAAAACAAAGTAAAACGCCAAAAAACTGCTGGAACAAAAACAAAAGCTGTAAGCCAGCCGAAGACAAACTTGTTTAGCTTTTTTTCTAGACCAAGTAGTCATGTTTCATCTGAGAAAAAAGCTACGGAAACAATCGATCCTAGGAGTGGATATGAAGCCAGTCATGATCATGCGTCTTGCACGTCAAAAGCTTCTGAACTACCTAAGAGCACACCTACTTTAGGAACTAACAGTGTGGCAAATGTCGGTCAACCTAAAAAATTTGCTGATCAAGAGATACATTCTTCAGAGAGATCGGTATGTCGTCACACAGCCAAAGATGATTCAACTTCTGTTGACAGCAATTCGCAAGCTGAGGGAATAGTTCTCCCTAGCAGCAGAGAAAGCACGAGTAGCAAAGACTGTTCACAAAAACGGAAAGATGAAGTGGCTCTATGGAAGACTATTCTAACGGGACCCCGCCCAGCACCCCTCTGCAGTGGGCACAAAGAACCATGTGTTCTAAGAACTGTGAAGGTTAAAGGCCCTAATCAGGGCAAACAGTTTTATTGCTGCGCTAAGCCACAGGGACACAGTTCAAATCCACAGGCGCGTTGTAATTTCTTTAAGTGGGTAAAGTAGGCCTAGTTTTACTGTATTTGTTATGTTTGTTACTAATATTTTCGCTCGGTAAATAACGAAGACCAGTTTTAACTGAAGTGGTCGAAAAGGCGTAATCAATGGCAAAGTTAAAGGACAAGATTTCATGGCAAAGTAGCGGTGACCTGAGAGAACCAATTTGCATAGTTGAATTTAACTTTTTAGCTGTCCTGTCATTATATGGCTTAGGCTTCACTGATTTTTTTCTTTATGGGTTGAAATAGCTAGTGCACAAAGACAAATGGAGAACTACTCGTAGTCTAGAAACGTTGAAATAATAATAATTAAAAAAAACCTTTCGACAACAATGATTCTTTGTGTTGACAAGCTGTCGAAACGTGGCACGGAGTTACTGTGTTTTTCAAAAACACGCGAACTCTGGAGTTCAATTGCGTTTTTCGCTGCCGTCCATCGTCTTAGCGGGCCTTTCAGGAAACAGAACTTTACTTACACGGATTCGAAACATTCTCGTCGCCAGAGCGACTCGGCTTAATTTAGACCACGTGGCCAAGAAACGACGGGCTCTGGGGACGAGAATGGGTTCAAAAGGGCTCCGATCCGTTTTGCGTGTTTCTGTGTTTCAAGGTTCGTTACTTGTGACCGTAATTATAATTGACTGCAGCAAAAAACGCATTTGTGAAGGCGGCTTTTGAACTTTAGAGTTCGCGTGTTTGTGAACAGCGCAGTAAGGGATCTGCGGTTCGAACTTTATTACACTCAAAGCTTTCAATATCCGGGGACTCTAAAAATGGATGAATCTACAATCTCTGAATCCGAAATTCGGGAAAAAAAATAAAAGCCGCCAACCCATTGGCCGGCCAAGCAGACGATCTTTTGGCTCGTCACGCAATTCCCTTCCCCGATCAGGAACGCGTGATGAACCTGTGAACAGGTCTTCGTGGGAGGCTGGGCCAAGCGGCTCTCCAAGCGGCGTGTCAGCGGTAACCAAATCAGCGGTTTTAGCTATATGTTCCACGGCACGACGTGGCAAGTTCTTGGTGTGGGTGCAGCGTTTATTTTCCACCTTGCAAAATTTGTCTTTTGTGACCTGGAGGAAACCGAAAGTTTTTAAAAAGAGTAAACGAAAAAGGGTAAGAAAAATGATCCGAGCTGATTTCTGGCCAATGATCTCCTCGATCTAGTCCCCGGCAGTTGTCACTGGATCCGACCATTCTAGTAATTATTCCAAAATCTCACCTGCGCTCTCAAAGACGTCAAAGTTTTCCGACTTCTTCTTGGGTGTTGGTGTCTTTTATTTGTTTGTTAATAGTTGTATAGTCGCCATCACATCAAGCAATGGCTTTAGGTGGCTTAGACTTTACAGGCTTTGTGGCTGTTGAACCAAAGTCGGATTGCCCACATGTTCAAGTAAGCTACTTTAATTTTTATTTTAAGTACAAAAATGAAGGACATAACATCCTTGTCAAACTACAGAGTTTTAAAAGCGTGTACTCCTGCATGTTTTCTCAGCTGCTAATGCAGTTTTTATTTTTCATCTTTCTTGTTCCATTTTTAATGTAGTTTTTTAATAACAACACCACTGTTTTCTAAACAACGTTTTTATAGACAAGATCTAGAAAAGCTTGCTGTTGAAGCGTAAAATTTTATTTCAGTTGCGGAAGGCCTAGAAAAGTGCTCTTGTTGAAGTAAGCTTAATAAAAGCAGTTTGTTTTCAATCTTGCTTGCTCCACAGCAAAGTCTTGGAACTCTAATCTTGATCTATAAGCGCTGATCTATTCCTAGTTGTAAATTGTTTAATTTGTTTACCAAATGTCCCACCCTGACAACGAACGATGGAGAGCAGCTGTTTAGCCTCCCATGTGGGTGTTTTTAGGGGAGCTCGTCTTTCATCCCTCCCCACAAACGCCTGCTCAACTGAAAAAAAAATACGAGCAAAATACGAGCTCCCCTAAAAACGCCTGCGTGGGAGGCTAGCAGCTGTTTTGAGTCTCTAAATTCCTTTTTTACTGACATGGGGCTGGTGAGGAGACAACGCCTTATACATGTATTGAAGGAGGTCCTCTTAGAGGAAGGGAGTGGGGGGTATGTTTATTCAAAGATGGTCGTTTCACATTTTGAGAAATAAGTAATGTCCTTGTTGGTATTTAATCCATCTTTATGTCATTTGTCACCATCTCATCTAATCTTATGTTGCTGTTTCGAGGCTTTGTCGCTTGTCAGACTTTTACCATAACCTGCTGGTCTTTGTCAGTTACACAAATCCTAATATTCTCAGGACCTATTTTAATGGCTTGTTTCAACATTCAAGATGTCATGATACTGGGATGGCTCTAAAGTTTCATGGCAATTTCAACTTGCTCTTGATGGCAATTTTGATTTTACCCACAACAATTTCACCTTTGCCCGCAGCCGCAATTTCGGTTTTGGCCACGGAAATTTTCACTTTTCCCAAATGCTATTCACAAATTCAACTGGCATCAAGTTTTAGTGCACAAAAGTTCTGTAAATTCACTGACATGGCAGCCTTTTCCAAGAGCAAAGTTGAAATTACCATGAGCAAAATTGAAAATTAAAGTACATGTTATTTGTCAACATTTCTTGAAAGTAAGTGTTTACAAACGTTCATGTTGCTAGTCATCTAGAGATTGTAGGCTAGTAATCCTGGGTTCATTGCCTGGGCACCAAGTTACCCTGCATGCTAACTAATTATTTTTGAATCAACAGAAATTTGTGTCCATTTCTCTCTGTGCCAAAAGGCATTATGCATCATAGGCCTTATAATAATTATATTTTATGTTTATTCGTTTCTTTCAACAGTCATTATCAAACACAGCTTCATTGCACATTGACTTGATGAAACCTTGTGGATCATGCGAAAATGTTGGGGAAAATTGGTTGTGCCTTATGTGCTCAGTGGTGTTTTGCAGTCGTTATGTGAAAAGTCATATGGTGGAACACAATTCAAAGGAACCAAGCCACATGTTGGCTTTAAGCTTTATGGACCTTAGTGTGTGGTGTTATGACTGTGACTCGTGTAAGTTTATCCTTTTGTTGTACACCTGAAAGACTACTCTCATCAGCAGGATATGCGTACATATCATTGCAAGAAAGGGTCTTGAATGAAGCCCTGACCTTACATAATTGTGGGAGTAAACCTGAAAAATTGTACCCATTTTAAAGCAATGAGAGTTTCTTGTTTTTCCAAGGAGACCTCTTAAACAAGCCTTGCTTAGGATTAGACAAACTGCTGTGTGTGAAGAAGTCATTTATTAAGTTTTCAGCGGGGATTAAGATGTGCTCTTCATTAGATCTATACACAATTCAAGGAACCCTCTCAGGGGTTCAAGCTGTAGATGGCTCCTTTTCTGCCAAAGTGTGGTCTCTTAACCTCTCTACTCTTTGTTACAGCTATACAGGTTTACTAAACTGTACCATGTACCAGTATACTCCTTCTGCAAGCACACAGGACATAAGTGGCTAGGGAGGAAAATGTGCTTTCCTTTAATTGATATACATTTTTGATTGTCCTTTTTCAGATGTTTCATCACCACAACTTCAGCCTATTGTAAAAGCTGCTGAACTGGCTAAAGAAACCAAGTGAATTCTAAGCCACAACCACAGTGCTTGTAGCGCAAAAGCAAGTTGCTCAGATTACTGAGTTAGTGAAGAAAATGGATCACAGGAAATGACTGTTATGTAGCTTGCAATATAAAACTGTATTTTTAAAAATTATTAAATAAGTTATTTTCCAAGTTTTACAAAGTTAACATTATTTAAATGTCAGCCTTGACAAAAAGAATATTTGAGATTTTTGTTAAACCAATAGTTGCACTATAGGTTTGTCTAAGAAGTAAATAAACACTGAAATAAATTTAGATACTGGTTTGTTTATTATTATTGTAAGAAGCTAAGATTGAAGCATAATCGCTGTTGCTTCACATGCTATCATAGGGAGCTTGGGTAGCCTGTGATATCCCATTGTCTTATTCGAAATGGTTAAGGGCTCACCTATACCCCAAGAGGTGAGATCCAGTAGTACACAGTATTTATGTCAGTTGATCCCAGTACCAGTCACTGAACGATCCCCAAGGGGGAATCATCTCGCATTATAAGTCTCTGTGTAGTTAAATCAATGGTGCTCGGTAAACACTGTGCCTGGTTCATAAATAGGCAGTCTTTACCAGCACTTTACTACAAACACAACCCTTTCCCCAGGGTCTTGTCATTTTCCAAGCCACCATGAGACATGACCTCAGAGACGAGACTGCCACAAACAAGCCATTGATGAAGACAGGGGCATCCTCTTGAAAGCTTTCTTTGCACTGTCTCTCCTGGCCAGACCCGAGTGAGTACCCTTAGGTCCTGGGGTAGCTTCCTTATACACTGTCTAGTCGGGTCATTGTGTACCTAGGAGGCTCTTTTGTTCTTTTATAAGTATTGCTTCCCAGTTCCCCCCCTCCCCACCCACAGTTGTTTTGTGCTGATAAGCTGCCCCTTGCTTTGCTTTAATGATTGGATGCTGATGAGCGAGGCCTTCCTTAGTTTGAAAACATCTCCAATGGGATAGGGGTAGGGGGTACTCCCTAATTTGGCCTAAATGGTTGCCGTAATCTGCCGCTTTAAGCCCTGGGGTAAGATGCATTTTTGTTAAAAGAGTTTTTAAGAGGGCCAACAAATGGAGGGGCTTATATCTGAGGGGGCTTAAAACTGGAAGAGAAAAAGAGCTGCAAAACAAGCTGAAGAAGTGCTGATCAAAATATGTTTGGCATTTACTGCCGGTCTTATATGAAAAAAAAAAAATGAAATTAACAATAACGTCATAAATCAAATTAAGTGGTGTGGGTATAATTTGAGCTAGATGCGGGGGCTTCCTGGGAGCTCAAATGGTCTTGCAATTTAATAGGTCTTTTTGTCTTCAATAGGGTTGCAAAATTTTTGGTCTCAAACAGGGTCAGGGTATGAATAGTAATCTATTCACAATTCCCAGTGGACGCTCGCCCAACAAAGGCCTGGAGGCGAAAGGGTTAGACCCAGACAAGAGTAAAATTAGGGGGGGAAGGAGGGGAAACAGATGACCCTACCAGTGGACCCCCCCCCCTCCCTCAGAGGGGGACAACACAAAAATCCTCTCAACTGGCGCTTGCATCTAAACTGGACAAAATCCCTTACACACGAGTTTATTAAATACAGAAATTCACTACCGAGAGAGATTGAAAAAATAACTCTAGCGAGTAATTGGACAGAAAATAAGGCCCGTGTTGCACGAGTGAGCACTGGGAATAGTCTCCTTCACAGCCGCTTGGGCCGGAGTCACGCAATGCTCTCCGTTGGCGCGTGGGGATGGTGACAACCCCCTTCTGATTCTACAAAGAGAAACTTTGTACTGCTAGGTCGCCCTCCATGATATATGTGGACTAGTGAACACAAACTGGTTGTCCTGTGCATCTTACCGGACACAATCAAGTACCTTACATTTATGTACTATTCGGAAACTAATGAACCGCTGGCTTTAAGTTATCATGTTTCAAATATGGCGGCAAACAGTGGATGGTTGGAACTTGAAAGCGATCCAGGTTTTAACCGTTTTTATCCGCATCCACACGTTTATATTTTCCATTTACAAATTCCACGTATGATATGTGCACCCTTTGATAACTTAATCGTTGTTTTTCTTGATGTAGGACTGTTCAGCCTTCTAATTGAGGAGTTCGGTGAGTAGCTTGCATGTCAACAGTCATTTTAGCTTAGTAGAGTGAATCAGAATTTAACATGCAGTGCTTACAAGCATCGATCGATGAATGCATGTAAGGAAATATAAAATAATTTGGATCGACACAAACCCTGGATCACGTAAAAGAGCTCTCATCATTAATTAGAGACTCACTGGAGTCACGAACGGACTGACATCGTTCCGCAATGCGCAGTGAAATCAACAAACGTACACATGCTCTCACTATTATGTAAATAGTTCTGAAAATACTTTCATCTATCTTCCGATCGTTACTCTGTACTCAGATCACAATGACACATTTAGAAAATTTTACATGACTTTTTATAGTAAAAAAAAAAATAAAAATGTGGAACGAACTGACATTTTTGTGGAACGATCTGACTATTGAGTGGAACGATCTGACTTAGAACGATCTGATCATGGAACGAACCGACTGGATACCTCATCTACCAGGGTCCGAAATTAACTTTTTAATATGGGCGCCAACTGGTGAGCAAGTATAAATTTTTGGTCGTCAGAAGGCAAATTATGGTCGCAAAAATTGCCCTTGGCGGCTTGGAAACGATCAACTTGTATTGATCATAGCTGTTGTGGAGGTATATTTACAGGAAGATTCGTTTCACTTTTAAATTAAAAAAATATCAGCAGGACGAAAAGTACGCCCCTGTTGGCAAATAGCTTCGAGGTTTCAATTCTTAATCATTTTCTCCGAACGTGAAAGTCTATAATAACAACCAGCTTTACAAGTCGCCAGCTGGCGACCAGCTATGAAATTCTGGTCGCCAGAACTGAATTTTTGGTCGCATTGGCGACCAGGAAGGCGCAATTTCGGACCCTGTCTACATTATATATTTATCCATAGTTAGTAGATCTAGAGGGGAACCTCTCTACTAAATATGATCAATCTTAATACATACCTTTTTGTTTTGTTTTGTTTGTTTATTTATTTGCATTTTGTTTCCTGTTGTGATATGGTCGATGATTTTCTTGCTCAGTAAGGTTCATGGTCGTTTCGCCTACGAGTCGTTTTGCCAACGTTCTGTTCACCAACTTTTGAAGTCGTTTCGCGTACGAGTTAGGTCAGTTCCCTAAATGCTTGCGCCTGATCAGTGGCTGAAAGGACGAGGTATATATCATGGTCGAGAAAACAAAGCATATACATGTGCACCACTCGTTTCGCTTCTTAGCAGAACAATATAAAACATTGGCGAACGGGATGTGAGCAAAAGGACTCATAGGCGATACGACTGGTCACTGTGATCACCCTCAGTAAATATTTCAAGTTTAGATTAGGTAAAAGACTAAACCTTGGTCTCTTCTATCAAAAGTAATCTGCTGTAATGATGTATTAATCTTTACTTACTATTAGGTGTAAAAGGTGCTCAGGTTGAGGAAATATATGATCTTTCAAAACCATTCAGAGGGTACGACATCTAATTTTATTGTGTATGTTACAGGTCAAAATTATGTTGAGGTTTAATTTTTAAAAAAATAGGTTGAATCTCTATTTCCTTTGTCTCCTAGCGCTAATTATTCATGAATCGGGGATAGGAGACAAAGGAAATTGAGAATCAACCTATGAAAATTAACCTGAACTTAAGTTTGGCCTGCAGCATGTATACTGTACTGTTTGTGTTTTAATCCATTGAAAGATTTTCAGCCGTTTAGTGCTGTTTAAGGTGGCCTGAATCTATTTATATGCATGTTGGTTATGTTTTTTAATCAAGTTTTTCAGTGAGCATGATTTCTATGCTTTTTGGTATCATTAATAAAGAATGGTGGAACTTAAAGAAAGTGTTGTTTATTTTCTTATAGGTATAGAAACTTTGAGATAAGGGTGCAAAGAAAGTCAGTTTTATGGCTGGCCGTGCAGGATTGATTACAGTTCTTCTGTAATTTGAATTTAAGAATATGTCAATAATTTCAAAATCCGATGACTGATTTTTTCCTAACTTCAGCAGATAAGCTACAGAACTCTCTCAAATAATTTAACTCTCTCAAAAATCTTCTTCATGAAGGAAAAAGAATAAATAACTGCACTATAGCATCTTTATCTTTAATTACAGTGATGTGTAGGTGAGAGAAAACTTACAGATACCTGACTGTATATCTCTTTCGTTGCTTGATGTAGGCCTGTGTATGGTTTTATTTTCCTCTTTAAATGGATAGAGGAAAGAAGATCAAGACGCAAGATGCAGCCCTTGGAAGAAATGTTTGTGGAGGATGAAAATATTGTACGAGATATCTTTTTTGCCCAGCAGGTACAATTGTAAAAAAATTAAAACTATTTTTTGGCCAACAGGTAATTCCAAACTCCTGTGCCACTCACTCATTACTGAGTGTTCTGTTAAATTGTACACATATTCACCTAGGAGAAACCCTTAGCAGATTAAAGGAGTTTTCTAGCAAGTTTGATCCTGAGGTACATACTGTTTCAACTTTGTGCTTCTTTTATTTTGCCTTTCTCATTGCCAGTTGCAGTAAATTATGTTGAATGGAATGTCAGATATGCTGCAGATATGCTATTTGTGGGTAATGAGTAAATAAAATATTATTGTAAATTCTGATTGACCAATAAAATAAATGAATAAATGAATGAATCCAGTGCTGATGGTTTTAGGAAAACATTTCTGGTTATGTAACATACTTCTAACAACAAGAACGCTCAACTGCAATTCAAAGTTTTCAAAACAATAAATTAAAAGATTATCTTATTATTCTGCTAACATGTGAAAGCCCGAGAGTGACTTCCTGTCAAGTTTCATATACATATTTTTGTTGTTGTTTCATATCGTTCATTTATTTTTTAGTCACTCATCTTTTCTTGGTTTTTGTGCATATTTCCTACATGTTCATGTGAAAAAAGATCAGTTGAAATAATACCAGTTTTTCAAGTGCATGTATAGAAAGGCTTGTTTTGTGATCATGCTGATTACGTACTACTGAAAAAAGAAACACTTCTTTACATCATGTTAACTACTCTTATGTTCAATGGTTTCTAAACTTCAGAACAAAGGATATGTGATTGGCAAT